CAGACAGGCACTGCCTCCTCAGCTCCCAGCACTCCACCGAGGCAGAGGGAACACACAGGACAATCACCTACTAATGACTCCTAATTTACAGTCTGCTCAAAGTGCACCAGTCTCATTAGAGACTTTGCAAAATACCTTTACAAGATGCATCTCTGCTTGTTTTAATAAATCTGATAATACATTATTAGACATGACTTTATTAACTGCTTTTCTGCTTAGGATTAAATTATTCAGGGTGAGTTGTTCTGTCCTCCTCTATTCAGTCAACTAAGTACTATAATAAACTAGAGGTTTTTCCTGTTTTGCCCCTAAAAATGAAAGGCATCCCTAAAAGGGGCGAAGTTAATAACATAGCAAAATGCCATATGGTCAACTTACCACTGCCACAGCATCACTAGAAAGAACAGCTTGAGCATCCAGCACTGTATAGTAAGCTACATTGGTCATAATATAGATAATAGTCACAATTGGCATAGACACTGCAATAGCCAGAGGTAAGTTCCTGGAAGACAAAAAACACCCAAACCCCACAAGAGCAGAAAAAAATTCCATTAATAACAGAATAAACTTATTTATTTGTATCCTTTACAAAAGACAGAAGAGTTATGAAGCCAGAATACAGATTTCAAAAAAGGTATCTCTGGAATCAGGGTTTGGTTTCTCTTAAAACTAGAAATTCTAATACAGAATACTGGAAAAAAAAAATCTAATTTTTACAATAACTTAAAGCCTAAATTATGTGTAAAAACTGATTCTATGCAACTGTTCTTCAAATACTCCAACTTCAAGGTTTCCAGATCTGTAATAACAGCCTTCACATTTACATGCTTTAAATTATTTCCATGTTAATGACCACAACCAGAACCCAAAGAGCCAGAGCACTGAGTCACTGCACTCCTTCTCCCTGGGAAATGCAGCTGTTCTTCTACCACCTGCTTCTAGGACTGATGGAGGGAGATCCACTAAAGCAAACCAAAGCCCTGACCTTCCATCTCCCCCACCATGCAGAGAACAAACAATGGCTGCATAACTGCAGAGAACAGAGGTGCAGATCCAGAACTGCCACACAGCTGGGAGCTCAGGATGTGGGGTATCTCACTAGCAAGCACAGGTCGAGAAAGCAATAGGAAAAAGAGTCAAGAGTAATAAGGAAACACTGCTAACCATTAGATGTAAACAGATAAGATTTAATTGTGAGATAAACTCACAGTGCTGAGTCTGCAGCTCCATAGAAAGAAACCAGAGAGCAAAAGCAAATTTCTGATGGTAGGCTTTGGCTTTTCTCAGCCTTATTCTTTCCTCAAACCTTGCAGGGATATTCAAATGTTTCAAAAAGGGAAGCAGATCTGAGTGTGTCACTCTCACACTTGTCCAGTATGAAATCAAACACAGTATGGTGACATCAATGAGCATCTGCCAGGAACACTGTTTTCAGCAGCAACAACAAAAACAACAAAACCCCAACAAAGCATAAAAATTATCAGTCTGACTAAAACTTTGGAAGCTTCCTCAAAAACTTCCTGAGGCCCAGCAGTCCAGCTGTGTCCCTGTGATGCTGTGGAAGCAGAAAAACAAACATACACCACAGTACCCCATATAAAATCAGAAAATTAGTAACTGGGAGTTCTGCTTCCAGGTTGCACACTCACAGTAAGAGACCCATGAACCTCAGCACGGAGAAGAAACAGAACCAGAAAATCACTGAGAAATCAATTCAGAAATGTTACATAAAGTAACAAAAAGCTGAAATGGTATTTTAAGGACTTTGCATCATCCAAGATTAAAAGCCAAGCATCTATGTCAAACTTAACTTGTGGATGGCAACTTTTGAGTGGACAAGCACGAGGGCACTACGAGTCAAGTGAATGTGAAAAACACGAAATTGCTGCAGTAATTTGACAGAAGTCTGGAATCCCTCTTTATTGCCCAGAACTGTCCATGCAGAAAGCTGAAATGGGCAGTTCACCTTAACACCTGCAATTCTACCAAGAACAAAGCTTGTGTTAGGCACTGAAGCCTAAAGAGAGCAAATGACTATGATGAAATTTTTATCAGCTGCACACCCTGTGAGAAAATCAGAATGACCACACTGATAAACAGAGCACAGACTACAATCAGGTACCTGTTCCACTGCAATATTGACAACTACCGTAATGAACAGCAGCAACATCTTGAACTGAAAGCTTATCAAGCACTGAATACAGCATCCACCAGTCATCTAGATGTATTTATTCTTACCTTTTCTTTCTTTCCCATTTTTAATGGAGTTTGGGAAATCTTTCAGCCTCACCATCTAAGTATCCAGCAGTTCTACTTGTTTCTGTATAAGCTCAGAACCCATTAGTGAATGACAGCCACAAACAAAGCAACTCAGGAAGTATCTGGTTTTAGAAAGCTTGAATCAATTTACCTTTCTGGGTTTTTGATTTCTTCTGTTACAAAATTGAGCGTATCCCAACCAGAGTAAGAGAACAAGGCAGAATATAGTGCAAGGGAGATGTCTCCAATATTAAAAGAGGATCCCTCAAAAGAGTTCTCAAAGTGTGATGTATGCCCTGTGTGTGAAAGAGATGCAATGAAGGACAGCATAATTAAAATACAGCAAATAATGTGCACAAAAAAACCTCAGAAACCCTAATTCCTTCAAATCTGCTTATTAAGATCTTTCTTCCAGTTCTTCTCTGTGCTTTAGCCATGAAAACAAGCATTTAAAACTACTAAAAATTATGGCATGTGGATGATACAATTAAACACCTTGTTTGTCCACAATGGCACAAGTTCAGGAATATTAAGTTCAGACTAAGCTACAAACAACTGGCAACAACAGTACTCAGGCTAAGAGTATTTTTTATAACATATGTATTTATAAGATAATCGACTCTAGTCTTCTATACCCTTTTAAATTTCCAAACATTTTGCCTATGCAGAAAACAAAGCTTACAGGTGTTTTTAGATAACTGTGACAAATAACCCCACACAAACATCTAAGTGGATGCTTAAGTTTTTGCTATCAAAAACTGAATACTGAGAAAAATTAACAGAACTTTAAATATCACTGTTACTTTTCCCTAAGCTAAGAGGAAAAGTTACGGTTTTTGCACCAGTATTTGTGAAAACTTGTGCCATCTTTTGACTTTAAGCAACTCAAGACAAGTTCATCAATCACAGTTTATACATTCAGACTGTTTTACACAAACAGACACATGCAAACCCACCAAATACAGAAAGGCCAGTTACTGTGTAAGCCAATATTTGCAGCCTCTCAAATATCTTTATTTATTTTTCTTCCCTGGTTTTTATCCCAATCAGATATAGGGTTGCTATTCCCTTGGCACAGACACTGGCAGAGCAACTGCTGAGTCAGAAAGGGAGATGGGAGACGATGTGAAGGGAGCTGAGAACAAGCTCAGCATCTGCAAAACAGGGCTGGGCTGGTGTGCTGAGGATGAAACACCTCCCAGGGGGCTCCCATTCTGCATGTCCTTGTCCCATTCACAATAATTACCTTGCTCTTGAACTCTCAACAATAGCCAGTTAGAGCAAAGGACATGAACTGCCAGACTGCGGGAAAGACAAGCCTTTATGGCAGCAGGGTCAGTTTTTTAAGCTAACACACCAAGAAGTTCCCCCCAAAGGAAGGGCTGAGAACAAAACTAAGCTCAGAATTTCTATAACTTAAAGGCCAATGCCCAACACACACACACACACACACACACACACACACACACTCTCTCTCTCTAATTCTTAACAGCTATAATAAAACTCAGGCTTTGAGCAGAAACAGAGCTGTTATTTCACAAATCTTCCTACATATTCTATTTTTGCTTTAATTTCAGACACTTTCAGACTTGCACAAAATTCCTTCTGTAAAAAGACATATTCAGTTGATCTCACTGTAAAGCAGTATGTTCCTTACAGGAATTTACAATGTCTCCACTCCCATTGTATTTTGCTGTCTCTGTATTTCACTGTTTCATGTCCTTTATTATCCCATCCTGCAGGCTGTAAAGTACAGGATTGCTGAGCCATCCAGTACCTTTTTTTCCGCAGTTCAAAGTCAACTGAGATAGGCTGGATATCTCACAGTACCATGATAATGCCCAACAATGGGGTTACTGGTGTTTTCAAAGGGGCTATATCATCCTTCTACTGAGGCATAAAACACAGTTTGCAGCCTGTAGACAGTTACTTGGTTTAACTGATAAATACAAACCTTTGCTTTAATTTTACAAGCTTACCCTGGCATATTTTAACAACTCCAGCTATGATGATGGCAATCAGAGCGATAACTTTGGCGTAAGTAAATATATCCTGCACACGTGTTCCCCATTTAACATAGGCACAGTTTATAAATGTTAAAAGACCTAGGGGAGGAAAAAAGAAGACAAATTAAAAGACCATTTGAACAATGTTCAATTTAATTCATTTTTCAAAGATTTTAATTGCAATCTAAATACACACCTGTTATACAACTACTTAGGTTCAACTAAGCCAAATACACTAGTACTGAAAACACACTGGTTCAAACAAAACAGCAAAAAGCAGTTCTAAACACACTGTTTCAAAAGATGGAAGGAAAGATATTCCCCTTCTCTCATTACATGCCCATTTTCCTGATGTTACCCCTCATCAGCTGCACTCTGTAACTATCCTGAAATTAAAGAAACTGTTACATGAAATAATTCATTTCAATGTATCAATACTATTCTGATAAACGAAAGATTAGAAATTCCTTTAGGCAAACATATTAAAAGAGTGTTTGATAAGTTTTATTATCCTTCCTTGCTAGGCTCAGGATGAGTCCAACATCCATGGAGCAGCTGCCACACCAAGTATGGTCCCAGGTGATTCAACATCCCTCTCCAGTTCTATTGAACTGTATTTCAAAGAGAGAACAGATCTGAGCAAGGAATTTACAAGGACATGCACTGATAGGACAGGGGGTAACGGTTCTGGGAAGGCAGGGAGATTAGATTAGATTAGATTAAATTAGATTAGATTAGGTATCAGGAAGAATTGTTCCCTGGGATAGTGGGGAGGCCCTGGCACAGGGTGCCCAGAGAAGCTGTGGCTGCCCCAGCCCTGGGAGTGTCCAAGGCCAGGTTGGATGGGGCTTGGAGCCACCAAGCTTGGAACTTGGTGGGAGGTGTCCCTGCCCAGGGCAGGGTGGGATGAGATGAGAGCCCCCTCCAACCCAACCCATTCCATGGCTCTAAGAGCATGTGCTTTAGTTAACACAACAGTCATCTGGAACTTCAAAACTGGTAATAAGTCATGAGTATTCTGAGTATACTTCTCCCTCTACCCCAAAACAAGTTAGAGTCAGACCTGTTTCACAAGACTGCAATGAAATTTGAAATGAGACTTGCAGATCTCACCAATATTATAGAGCTGCTGACTAAGCTTACGCACATGATCAGCTTCCCCAAGAATGTTTTCATGGCTCTCAACATTTTGCTTTTGCATTTCTTACGTTTTTTTTGAAGGGGAGAGCCAGACAACCTCTACCTTAACTGAAGGGCTGAATATTGAACAGGATTCAGTATCTTCAGTATTTAACAAAATCCTAATTCAGTGCATATTTTTCTTAGATTACCACTACATTATTTAAACTTCTGTGTTGGAAACAATATTTCCCCCAAATCTCATATTTTCTCTAGGTAGTAAAAGAGTGGTCATATTCTACCATATTTTTTATCTCCAAAGAATTTTCTCATACTTAAAATATGCATATAAATAGACACTAAATTGGATTGTTTCAGGAGTAAGGTAGTAGCAAATAAAAATCAAATGAAAAGATGTGATACATTATTTCCTTTCTCGGAATCCAAGAATACTGTGATACTGTTAAGCTAAAAATGAGCTACCAAATTGAAAAGCATTGATTCTTCAGAGGTAACAAAAAGAAGGTAATGATCTCAAAAGCATGGCACTGGCATGTTAGACAGTCGGGCCAAGCAGAGTAGCTAAACGAGATTCTATTGAGTCCACTGAGCTTGGCAAGACGAGGGGGAAAAAACAGTTGTATCAAATTTCAAAAGCCAGGACTGCTGCAGCTCCCAAAGAGTCCTCAGGAAAACAACCAACTGCTCAGTCTCTGCTCCTCAGTTTTAGTGATCAGAGTATTTGCTTAAGGTTTATTTCAGCCTTTTTTTTCAAAGCAACTTTTATTGGGAGTAATTATTATTACTGAGTTAGGGCTTGGTCTCTACTTCAGATGAAATGCTACTCTGCCTCTGACACCTTAAAAAAAAAAGAAAGATAAGAATCTAATAAGCCACACCTCCTCTCTCTTTCTTTTACTGAAATTAATCTCTCATGCTTTCTTCAACTTCATTATTGTTTAGCTACTTAAAGTTCCTGAGAACTGTCAAGTTTTGGTTCTGCAGCACACAGGTTTTCTGTGCACACAACACCTCCACTTCTCAACACAGCTACAAACAGGTACTGTAGTACTGATGTTATGGTTCATCACAAGCATAATCTGGAATGAATGATTTTTTGAAACCCTACCAGAGTAGTAAGTAGACTTGGTAAGATCTGTTTTACTAAAACTTACTGTGGATAAAACACTGCCCCCAGTGAACCCCCAGAAATACTCACATTCACAGGCAGCTGCTATGAGACGACAGGCCAGATACGGAGGGTCACAGGAAGGGAAGAAGGGCTGGACTATGTAGTTAGCAAAGGTGATGGCTATAATTGCTTGGCTGGTTGGCTCAACAATGAGCAGGGAGGTCCACAAACGAATAAAAGCAATGAAGCTCCCAAAAGACTCCAAGATATATGCATAGCTGGCTCCTGACTTCGTAATGGTGGTTCCAAGTTCAGCATAGCAGAGAGCTCCGAAGACTGAAAATATCCCTCCCATTGCCCAAACTACCAGAGACAATCCATAAGATCTGCTGTAGAGGAGAACTCCTTTGGGAGAGACAAAGATACCTGAACCAATCATGTTGCCTACAATAAGGCTTATCCCATTTAGCAAAGATATTTCTTTCTTCAGTTGCAAAGCATTTTCACTTCCATGCTGCGTGGTACTTGGATCTGTCCTTTCTGATTTACTGACAGGGCTGTATTCAGCCCCTGACACGTGGGACTCTGTGCCATCTGTCCTTCCTGCCATTGTGGACGGGCTGGGAATTCTCCACGACTCCAATCACAGTCTAAAACAAAATGAAACAGCTGAAATCATTTTATTTTTTTTTATCCCAAGACTTTCTTGCAAAATCTTCTTTCCATCCTTTTGGACACTGATTTACAAATACAAATTAAGAAATTGCCTTCATATTGTTTTTTACACAAATTCATGCACAGTTAAACAGGAAAACCAACTCACAACAGAGAAAGAGACAAATTCCAATACAACTTCAGACAAGAGAGGGTTCTTACCTCTAGGAAAACAAACAAACAAAATCGTAGGACAGACGGAATTCAGGGACTCCAGTTTTGAGCAAAACAGAAGAAAGAACAGAGAGAAGCACAGTGAGATGACACAGAAAAGCAAGCACTGCAGGACCAAGATGAGTTGTAAGCATGAAGCCAGAGGTACTGCAATACCAAACACATAATTTAGGAGTGCTCCAGGCCAGGGCTGCACGTTACTCATGCAGGGGGGGCAGAGGCACCTACTCCAGAATCCCCGGGATCCAACTCTACACTTCTCACCAACACTATGGGTCACTCCCTCCCCAAAACTATTTCCAGATCTCACTGCCTTCTTTCTCGGAGAAGAAGAAAGTTATCTAAGAGTGCAGGCTCTACATGAAAAAACCCAGAGTAGCTTCAATCCAAATTCCTCCATTAGCAGCTATACTGAACAGTATCTAAGAACACAGAAATCAAATAATCTTTTTCCTCTGCTTCAGTACTGACCATTTGGAAAAGAGCCACCTTCTTTCAAGTCTCCAGAAAATTCTCCCCTTGCCTTCCAAAAGCAAATTACTGCTAATAAGATTTCTTAGCACAAGAATATACTGATAATTCTGAATAATGTCCATTTTATAGAAGTTCAAGTAAGAAATAATCTATTCCAGGAACAATCTTGTATGAAGAAATGAACATTTGATTACTAGTTTATCAGCTGCATAAAGAGCAGGCCCTACATAATTACCAAAATTAATTTCATGACCATTCATTTACCCTGGGCCTCATCAAACCCTCAGTGTATACTTCAGTCAATAACTATAGAACAGAAAAAACGAACTTGAGGTCAATTAGAATAAAGTAGGGGAGGGAGGGATGAATTTGTGCTTTTTTGGGGTAACACTTATTTTACCAAAGGTTTTGTTACTGCAACAATAGACTTGTCAGCTGAGAGAACCAAACCCCTGAATATGGGGATTTTGAAAGGTCAGCATGCAGCCACCCAAACTAGATGTATATCTGTGCATCTACTAACACAGGAACACACAAGGTCTTCCCTTCACTTACAGGGACACACCTTTCTGGAGGGAATATTATTCCTTTATCATAAAGCCAACACCTGTATACTACAGTACAGAAAATCTGACTTGACATCCCTAAACCAGAATAGTTTCAAAGATGTGAAAATGATAAAGATTATTTTCAATCAAGTAACAGAAAGTAACTTCTACTGAAATGGAGTACAAATCGTTTATTGAAACGTTACATCATTCATCTCCAACTCGTGAATCCTTAGAGATAGTGTTCTTCTAAAGAATGCAAAATGAGATCCTCAATCTGTTTAGTTGGATGCCTTCTGATTTATTTTCCCCTCAGTACTCCAAAGAAACACTTTAAAGATGGTTAATTACTAAATACATATTTTATCATTTATACATGAGTCAACATCTTATCTGGTGCCATACATACATCAGAAGCCATCAAATTTCACACTTACAATTAGACTAAAAATTTTCAACCTTCCACAGACTGATCTCTGCTATTTCAGAACTTAAAAGCTTGAGTGTTATAATGAGGCACGTCCAACAAAATAAAACTAACCGAGAGGGGGATCCACACAGTTTCTACAGATGAGTGTGTCCAAAACTGCAAAAGAAAAGGAAAGCATATTTACCTCAACAGTTGTTACCTCTTCTCCTTGTTATTTGCTCTTCCATCTATCTTGTGCCAAATTCATTTGCAATCACATACTGGCTGACTTTCTGTTATTGGTGTAGTAGAGTGAAGTCTTCAAAAAGACATGTGGCCTATGAGCTCACAAGATTATCTGCTTTGCTTTACAACAGAAAGATCAGTTATTACTCTGTAAATGAATATAATTATTATAATAATTGTAAACTCGATGCAATCATCTGAAAGCTGTGTAAAACAGCAGAACAAACAGTCAAAGCAGATGTTTTCATTACTAATTTGGCTGTAAAAAGTGGATTTAAGGGAACGCTTGTGACCCATAAAAGTAACATTTAATTCCAAATTGAGTCTTCTCATGTCTATGAAATGAACTCAGACAGAACATTAGTTGCAAATGTATTTCAGAAGGCAAGTCATCCTGAACAAACGTCAGTGGAAAAATCAAGAATACTACAGCTATTATTACGACATCCAACTGCCAGCCTGGAAATATGCCATGTTCATTTTCAGCCTTTCCAGCTAAAGGATAAAACTCTGTAAATATGAAGAATTCATCACAAACATAAAACATCATTTTGGTGATAACCACACATGATTTTCACTCCACATATCCTAATCATCATTCCCGTTTCTTCCTGGAACACCTTTCAAAGTACAGTTTGATAAGAAGCATACACTTTACTTTGAATACTCAGGCATTGTGATGGTTTGACTTGATTTAAATCAATTGAATAATTCAAATCACATCAAATCTGATGTGCTCACACACAGGCAGTTTTGCACTAAGAGTAACCGTGATTTACCTCATGGTCTGAAGCTCAGAGGTAAATTTAATTACCTGCAACTACCAGTGACTGTCACTGTTCAAATGCCTCCACCTCAATTAGCAGCACGTGACTGCAGTTCTATACAGGTTTTTTACTGGTGACCTTGACTGCTTCTTGCCCTAATCTGCTCTACCCAGGAAAGATCAATCACAAGATCAATCACCGCCTCTCTGAGCCCAGCCTCTTTTGTCCCCCAATACTCTTTCTTCCTCTCCAAGTCTGCTTTTGTTATTCCCAGCTTCAGGTATCTGCCGACAAGGATTTAAGGAAGGTGTGTGCAACAGTTCACTCCACATTTGGCATTTCTTTCTCTCCTCTACACTTGTTTGTTTTATACCCTTAGAGCCTTGAGGGCAGGAATTGCTTATTTGCCTGAGTCATGTGTCTTATTACACCACCTCTGCGACAGAAACAAAACTGTTGGCACTTCACTCAATCTTAAATGTAACTAAAATCTGCAGCTTTTACCAAATGGAAGAAAAAATTTAACAATGAAGAGGGAAAGCAGAGACTAGAAAACTGAAGCTATGTCAATATTAACAACACACAGAAAAAACACATATATTAAAATCCCTGATTCTGTCACATGATCATTACTTCTGTGGTAACAGAAGATAGGCTTGGAAGAGGAGAACGAGAGATAAATAGTATATATTTTCTAACATACAATAGTCCTGTAACACTGCATTTAAAAATACTATTAGAACAATCTCTAACGCTGCCAAAGCCTGGCCACAGGACTGCTGTGGCTAAGGCAGGGTCATGCTTTCACACAAGCTAACTAACACGGATTTCCTCATCGCTGGCCCTTGTGCAATACAAAGTCTTCCAACTCTTTTTTCTTGCTGATCGTTGCAGCTCTGAGGAATCTTTTTGCTGATATGTGATTTTTTTTTACTGAAATGACTCTGCCATTGATAGAATAGGCTTTAATATGAACCCGGGACCGAGTGACCTGAAACTAGGATCCCTTCAGTGCTTCACCAAAACTGTACATTCTGGTAAGGCCTATCCCACTTTGGCCAGGTACCAAAGGAGCTAATGAAGGTTAACATGCATTTAGCAGAGAACTAACAGTGCATTACAGGGTGGCCCTCCTGTAAGGGAAGGGAAAGAGGAACCCTCCACCAAGATCCCCTTTCTCCCACTGAACAGGACAGCTGTCATGTGCTCAGCCTGGGGTGAACCTGCACGTGGGTAAATGGCCAAGGTGAAGGACCAAACTGCTGAAAGTTTACTATGTTTTGCTGCTTTCTTATACAGTACCTGCTCATCACCAAAGATTGCTACTGTTCTTGCCTGTCTTCCATAGTTGCCTTGGTTGCCTAACTCCGGCCATAACACAGCTTTACCCTATACCTGGACTATTCACATATAAATAAGTCACCAGATGTAAGACTCCTATTTCTGAACACAATGAATGGCCCTTCGAGCAAGAGCCAAGACTGCTCTATACAGGCAAGCAGCATCAAAGTCTTCAGGGAGTTAAGCACCAACAGAGCAAAGGTTGTAAGTCCCAGAAATGCTTATTCACTGCAATGTATATATTTAGGCACCTCACAGTCTGAACATTTACATGTCCAGCACATGTTTTCCTTTCTGCTGGTGAGAGAAGAATCACTTCCCTGCCATACATACATATGCTGAGCAGACAGGAAGCCCTTGAAACAAAAGCAATTCCCGATGTAAAGATTATTCTCTTCAACCAAGTCTTTTGTGCTTGCATATGCAAACTCACCATCTTTAGGACTTTAAAAAAAAAAATAACCCTTCAATCAAATAGAATTGGCTGTAACACCCATTTTTTAAAAACATGGCCAGGTATGTTTACCATGTAAAAAGGTATGAAAGAGAAGTTACTATGTCAATCAATCATTCACTTGATAGTTTATCAGTGATGGTAGTAAGTCCCGACCATACACACCTGTGACACAGCTGGAAAGAGATGTTCTGCAAATACACATACTACCCACATGTTTGGACAAATCCTGAATAAGGCTGTGAACACTGAATCAGGGAAAGACCTATCATCAGCTCACAACTGATACTCAGTTACAACGTCTCAGAAACTTCCCAAAAATTCTTAAATTACTAGTCCTAGACAAACCCACATCATTAATACTAACCTAGATTTTAAACTCAGTCATAAAGAACTGTGCCAGCTCCAAGTGGAAAACAATTTGCCACTATATTCTTCCTACTTCTAATTTATTTTTATATTTCCAAGGGAAAAAACAGATGCAAGCTCACAGCATGGACTTTGTGGTGACAGTCCTGATTTAGCAAGAGGTGCGGTTGGGAGTGCACGAAGCAACTGCAAGGAGCGGAACATCTGGTGAAATTTGTAGCATAAGGCTCAAGTAAAGACAGAAGGGTCTGTTCAATAACTTGTTTTTCATCCTGGGGCAGAAAAGTGAAAACCTCCCAAAAGGGGGGGAAGTAACGCCAAACGGCGCACTCTTACCTGCAGATCTACACCCACGTGTACTCCTCAGGCGCGACCTACGGTCACGCCTAAACAGACCGTACTCAATACATGACACTTAAAAACACATAAGCAATGCAAATCAGTACCAAGCGCCAGTGAGCCGAGGCACTCCGGCCTGAGGGTCTCACCGGCCCCTGCGAGGCGTTACCGGAGCGGTTACAACCGCCCGCAGGTACAACCGCCCGCAGGTACAACCGCCCGCAGGTACAGCGCCGCTCGCAGCCACTGCCGCGCAGGTACAACCGCCCGCAGGTAAACGCCGCAAGGTACACCGCCGCACCCACCGCCCCGCAGGTACAACCGCCCGCAGGTACACACCGCCGCGCACCCCACCGCCCCGCAGGTACAACCGGGCCGCAGGTACAAGACCGCCCGGCACCCACCGCCCGCCGGACCCCCGCACCGTCCGCTGCCAAACCACATCAAACCGGGCTCGGGACGGGCGCCCGCGGGTGTCGGAGGGGACCCTGAGGGGGTCGGCCGCCAGAGGGGACCCGGGTGTCTCTCGCCCTTCGAGGGGCGAGGTTCAGAGCGGACTGCAGCGTCACGGCAGCCCACGGAAGGAAGCGGCGGCAGGCTTCCGCTCAGCCGGGGACTGTCAGGGCTGGGGCACTGCCCATGTTGCCGCGCTTGAATCAACCCTTAAAACAACTCACGGCGTTTCATCGCGCTTCCTTCCCGTGAGCCGCAGCCCCGGGGGCGCGAGGCGCCAGCCCTGGATGCTGCAGGAGAGGCGCCGCCGGCGCACCGCGCCGAGCCCCGCAGCCTGCCCCTCAGGGCGGGGGAGCCCGGACCGCCTCCGCAGCCCCGCCCGGCCGTGTGGGCGCGGGCCCGCGTTAACTCCGCTTCCGTTACGGCGCGGCCGTGTAGGGATGCTCGCCCCGTTGCCCACACGTGTGATGGCGGCCGCGCCGCCGCCGCCACCGCCTCCGTCCGCTTCCCGCCCTATCTCCCGCCTCGCTCTGCTAGAGGGGGAAGCCGCGGGGCGGAGCTTGCCGCCGGGGCCTCGCCGGCCCGGCCGCCACCCGCGCGGCGGGGGCGGGAGGTGGTTTCGCAGGCCCGAGCTGCCCCGCGCCCCCCGGTTCGCCCGGCCTCCGCTACGACCCGGCGGTTGAGGAGAGCGGTGAGCGCTCCCCCCGGGGCGGGGTCCAGCCGCCTGCCTCCCTCAGGGGCAGGATGGAGAGCAGCCGTAGCGCTGACGGTACGGACGCGGAGCCCGGGCCCGGTCCGGGCCCCTCAGGGCGTCGGGGGCACTCCTGAGACCCGGGGACGGCGCTGCACAGAGTTAAACCCGCCCGAGTCACACCTGAGGGACCCTCAGGCTCCGGGCTGAGGGGCCCAAGAGGGTCGAAACGGTGAAATGTGGTGATATTTTGGGTTCCCGCTGCATAGGTGATAAGCGCCAATCATAGCTGACGTAGAAATTAAAAGGGAACCCTTAAAATACTCCCGTTAGCGTGTTTCAGCCCTCAGGAGAGGCACAGCTACGCCCGAAATTTGGCTCTGTTAAAATACAGTCTCCCAGAATCACGATTTAAAATGGCTCGTGGTGTCTGAAAATAATGGTGAGCAATTTGCCGTTCAGCAGATTTATCTTGGTAGTGTAATTAAGGCTTTCTTGTCTTCCTTTGGCAGGTTAATAGT